ATATATATATATATATATATATATATATATAACATACAATTCAAATTGTTCCTGGATGTTTCTGCTCTATTTGTCAATAGTTTAATAGTTCACAATAATATTTCACTAAATTTCATTTTTTTAAATTTATTTTAAATTATTTTTTATACAATTCATGATTTTTGAAAAACTTAGTTCATAATCGTCCCCCATTTTATTCATAATGAAAAATATTTTTAAAAATTGTTTTATATTAAAATTGAAATTTAAAAAAATGTTCAAATTCCCTCAATTTCCCCCTAAATTGTCTTTGTAAACTTTTTAGTCCTAACATTAAAAATGCAATTTTTTTTTACAAAATCATAATTTTTTTCAATCTTTCTTCAAATTTCATAATGTATGCATTTATATTTATGTTTTTCATATTTTTTGTAATCTTCCCTCAGTTTGTTATATTTATTTATTTATTTAGCTTGTTTTTCAAAATTGTATTTGTAACCTTCCCTCAAAGTTTCATAATTAAAAAAAAAAAAAGTCTGTCTTAGACCCCACTTTTTTATGATCCAATCAATTCCCAATGTATAAAATCAAGGCCCAAGTTTTTTTCTTTTTTTTTCTTTCTGGAGCTCATTTGAATGCATCTCGACACTGACACCCCCCTTCACTGCTCTCTCTCACACACATACAGACACAGTACTCCCTCTACCTGTTTGGGCTGCCATCATTTGCATGAAATAAGATGGAAATGGAGCCCTTATTTATTTCAGCAGAAATGAACTGTATTATTAAGGGCACCATTGTGCAAAGCACCGGCTGCTATGAGAATACATTACCCTGGCTATTTCTGGAGCGCTCCAGTCACACATACTGGCTAATTTACTCCATTCTCGACTCATACCACTACTTTGAGGGGCCCACCACTTGGATGCATTCATTGGAGTGTGTATATATGTGTGTGTGTGTATATGGGTGATTGTAGCATTGAGACAAATCTTGCTCCTGTGTGGGCAGCTCCGGCATGTATGAGTGTGTGAATTATGCATTTTGGCTGTATGTTTGAACTGAAATCATCTCTAATTCAGTGGCATCACCCTTTATATCAACCAACAGGTTCATTCTTTTCACCTCTGTGGCCTGTGAACTGGAAGAACACACACTCACCATTTCCTGTTCCTTTTTCTCCTCCTCATTAATGCTGACCATTCTCTCCCCTGCAGGAATGGTTTTAATAGTACATTGGTTGAACCCTGAACTCTTAGTGGATGTTCCTCTACCCATGATCTGATCTAGAACTGACTTCTTTTACCTGCAAACTGGCAATAACAATGCAGCAGAACACCAAAATGGTATCTGATCACATGCAATCTATTTCCATGCAAGTTGTGAATTTAATTCTTGTGAAAAATCTAAATACGAAAAAAAAACAGCGTGCGAATAAAGTAGCATTTAATCTAATGCCACTGGCAGCGAAATTGACACATAAAAACAAGAAAAATACAAAAAAGGCACCTCATGTCAAAAATCTTGCTGTCCCCTGGTTTAGCCAAAAAAAAAAAAAGTTCACCCAATCCTTAAAATTGCCATCATTTACTCATCCTCAAGTCGTTACAAACTTGTATGATTTATTTTATAGAACATAAAATGAGACATTCTCTCGGTAGTTTTTTTTTTTTTTTTCTCCCTTTGTCTATTTGTCTATACAAGTAGAAGTTAATGTTAACCAAAATGGTTTGGTTAGCATTTTTCAAAATATCATCTTTTGTGTTGTACTGAAGAGTCACACAGGTTTGGAACAATTAGGATGAGTAGATCATGACCTATCCCTTTAACATTCTGTTATTACTAATGTAACAAACCTCAGTTCTCAAGGGGTGATAGAGTTACTTTCTAATTAGAATGACCTTCTAATGTATATTCAAGTAGCTAGTCCTAAACATGATGACAGTTTAACTAGATTTAACTTACTCAGCAAGATTCTCTTTAAACTGCTGCTTCGTCATGTCAGTATTTGACCTGAAGGAGAAAACTGACCATAGAAGAATAGCTACTATGGCACCCTTGTGGCAATGTTGAGAATGTGGTGCATGGTTGCATTCTTACACATTTCACGTACATGCTTAGAGTGTGTTTCATGCTTTAATGTTTGACCAAGATATACCCACTGTGTATGCACACACACTGATTTGTGGCTGTCCATTCTTTTACAGCCTTTCTAATGGAGTTTATTAGCATCTGAACAGCATTGCAGAGCATATGTAATCTGTTCTTTTTGAAGGGTGCCACTTTTCAATCTGGATCTGAACAAAATAGTCTTATTAGGAGCCTATTAAGCTGAGAACTCACATACACATTCACAAAGAGTTTGATAAACCTTACTTGGTATTTTCCAAGTGAAATATAAGACATCTGTGATGTGATGTACTAATCTCTGGCTGACAGAAACAAATTTTAGAGACATAATCTGCTCTGAGACAGCCATTGCACTTGTCTCGTTTGATGTTCTTATATGGTACACTCTTTTTTTTTTTTTTCTTGTGTGTGCCACATTTGTGCACATGAGTTAGTGTGCATAAATGTATATATGTGTGTGTGCCTGCGTTTGAATTCGAGTTTTGCTGCGTGTTTAGGAAAAGAAAAAAATCTTTGCTCGTGAACAACATTTTCACTGTATTGATGTTTCTGTGGCTCTTTCAACCTCTCTGCAAAATTCAGCCAATATCAAGTTATTACCATTGATCAGAGGCAATGGCAGATCTCAATGTGAAGACCATTGGATTGGATGACACACAGCTAAACACCAAAGTCTTTACGCTTTCAAATGGAATATCTGGCTTGTAATTACTGTAATAGTCTAAAGCCCATACTAATGTACTGAGGCTTTTAATTGTGGGTGGACTGTTTACATGTGGTACATATTGTTGTAAAAGAGTGTCTTGCCAGTGTTTCCTTTTGCATTTCATGCAATAATTACTAATATACTAATTTGTCTTTTTGATGCTGTTTTTAAATGCATTCACTACAGGAATCATCTGGGGCAACTTGAGGTTATGTGCACTGCTCAAGGGCACTACAGTGAAAAGCTGTAGATTCAAACCCCACGTGGGGTTTAAATCTACAGCCTTTCAGGAACTTCTAGATATAGATATAAAAAATAGGGCTGTTGAAGTTAATGAATGCAATTAATTGAATATATTTAATAGAACATAATTGTTAATATAATTTTTATTTTTTGTCATTAACATGTTTATTTAATTGTACATTATAATGGTTTCATTTTGTTGTGTGATTTCTAAAAAAGTAGTAATCATACTGTAGAACCTC